CACCCGGCCCTGTTTACATGGGCTGGGTGCAATAACAGAAACAGTAAGTACCCGCCGTGATCACGTAGAACAAACACGCTGAAATCACAGTTATTTTTGCTCGATAAAAACAGACGGTGCAATGGAGTTCCTGGCATTTTTAATTTTTAAAAAATAATTAATTGTTCTTGATTTTTCTTTTCTTAAAAAACACATTTTTCAGCGAGACCTGTACCTGTCGCTGTTAGAGGAGGACCCGTCCCGTCAGTCGGCTCTCTCGGGATCGTAAGAAGGTTTACGTGTTGGAGCCAGACGATGTGAAAAGAAGGGCAAAGAGACCTGTCGTTTCTGCGAGCCTTTTTCCTGCGACGCGGCGTGTGTAGTGTGTATGGGGACTCACCTGTCTAGCCTGTTTGCGCACTCCGCTCACCTCACTGTCTGCCTCACTGTCCGCCTCACTGTCTGTCTGCCTGCCCGACTATCTGCCCGACGGTGCACCCGAATGTCTGCTCGACAGTCTGCCCGAACAACAACAAACGCAATTAGTTGGTTAGTTTCGGCTGCACAGCCTTGTTTTCATGTATTCGAACGTTACCGCTACCGCTACCACCGCCGCCGCTTGCACTAAGTGAAAAGTTCCTGTTTTGTTTATTTTGGTCGTCTTTTCCAGCCATACATTATTGCTCTGTACCAGCGCACGCCGGCGGTTCGGGGTTCTAGATCTAGCTCGGCCGGGAGGGCATGGGGATTTTCCCCTCTCCGGGACGTGTGGTGCAGTGTGCTTCGGCCGGGCGTTACGCCCCCCCCCCTCTCTGCACGGTGTGCACACTGTGCAGTGCAGTGTGCAGCACACAACAGGTGCACGGTGCGATACTGGACCGTCGCCGCAAACAACCCCTTGCCGTTGCCGTCCTAGTGCCGCCCTGACGCTGGCACTAGGCGGTTTTAGAGCGCGGCGCGTCCTCGTGTTGTTGGGATGGCGGGGCGGGGCGGGGCGGGGCGTAAGCCCGTGGCGGGGCCGCCCCGCCCCTACCGCGGGGTTCGCTGCCTCGCTCGCCTAGCTGTTCTCCCTCGCTGTGCCTCACTATGCTTACTGTGCGCACAGACGCATGAAGCGTGCGGGGTGCTCCGCCCCGCCCCGCCCCGCCCCGCCCCGCCCCCCGCCCCGCCCCGCCACACCCCACCCCGCTCGGCGTGTTTGGAAAGGGCCTTGCTGCGCGCCCCGCGGGCAAGGACCAAGGACCACGAGGCGCGTGGCGTCGGCGTTGGCCTTGTGCCGATGGCCGTGCGAGATACCCGCCCCGCCCCGCCACGCCACGCCACCCTTCCGGTGGGATGAAAAATTGCTGCGTCTTCTGGGCGCAACTTTGATAATTGGGCAACGGCTTGACCACGGCCATGAACAGAACTAGGACAAAAACCAAGACCACGGTCGCGACCAAGACCATGACCGTCCATGACGATGACGGCGACCGTGAACATGAACATGACCGTGACCATGAACAAAAGACCAAGATCAGGACCGTCGCCGCGACCACGTTGACCACGACCACGGCGCGCATTGGGAACCGTGGCGGGTCTTTGCGGGACCAGCCTAAGTCTGAGTCAGCATCGTCTTGTCGTCGTTGAGCTCCCTGCGGTGTACACCATAAAGAGGGGGACTGTCCGGGGTGATGGGGCCAACAGCCCCGCGGGGCCGGCAGGGCGCAGGGCCGCACGGCGACAACGCCACCCGCCGCCACGCCTGCTTGGTGTCCCGGCGAAACCATCTGCATTTAAAGTGCGAGCGGACGGCGAGCTTGGCGGCGAAGAAGAACTGCGGACAGCAGAGCGATTCCGAGAGTCGTTTTCGTCGCTCTGTCTCTCTCGCGCCCATAGGGGGACGCGTCAAGAGCGCGAGGGAGACAGAGCGACGAAAAGGACTCTCGGAATCAGTCTGGTGCTGCGGCGCGCCGCGATGTATCGCCGCAGCCAACACGAACACGCACTTGGCGGGGTGATAAACGGGAGCTTCTTTCTCCTCGAGGGACGAGCTGCCTGGAGGTTTTCGAACTCCAGGGAATAAATTCATTTTTCTGCCACCCTGCCCGCTTCCCTGCGCACCGGGGGCACCTTCACGTGCATGTGTGGGTGAGTCTGAGCGGGTGTACTCGTGTCAGTACCTGTGTGAGTGTGTACGTGAGAATGTGTCTGTGTGTCTGTGAGTGCGCTAGGCCGGGCTTTCAACAGGTGCTTGGGGGCCAAGACGGAGCTACTCCCCCAGGCCCCCTCGAGTCCCACATCAAGGTAACGCTCATATGTCCCGAGTGCCCCGGCGGTTGGCCTCTAATCACCCTGTTAGAACGTTAGAATGTACTGGCTGCGGGGATAGCGGCACCGGGTTACACTGCAATTTCCGCGTTCGAATCCCTTCGAAACGTTTTTTTTTTCGTAAATACATTTTTGGGACTGTCCCCGCCTGATCCTGACAGTGTCCTGGTCTTGGCCACCGGCCCCAACCCATTCTATAGTTCCTGTTGTCCCGTCCCCGTCGGGCCCAGCCAGGTGGAAGAAAACTTGAGTCCAAGTTGTGGGTGTTGCGTGTTGGCAATGTTGGCGGCGCGCTCCAGCGCAGAGTGGGCCAGAAGACCGGCGGAGGCAGTCAAAATTTCGGACGCGTTTTGAGCTCCAGAGTCGCTCAACGGGACTCGACCTGAGCGTGTGACCCCACCAATGGATTGCTCTCCGAACAAGGAATCCATTGGTGGGGTCACACGCTCGGTTCTACTCCCGTTTAGTGACTCTGGAGCTCAAAACGCGTCTAGTATCGGCCGCCGGTCCTCTGACTCCTGTGCAGCGGTGCGTGGCAGTTGGCAGCGTGCAGTGCGAAGCCGGCTGAGATGAGATTACCAGTGGCGTGCAGTCTGACGCTCCGAGGACGCGATGCTGGACGTGAGCGAGGCCGGCGTGGATTAGGTACAATGGCGACGCTGCAAAGGCTGCACGACGGGCGCGTCCTTGGCGTTGGATTCTCTCTCTCTCTCTCTCTCTCTCTCTCTCTCTCTCTCTCTCTCTCTCTCTCTCTCTCTCTCTCTCTCTCTCTCTCCCCTGCTAGTGCACCACTGACCTCTCCACCACCTTAATCACTTCCAGGCACGCCGAGCGACACAAACTTTTGACGAATCCAGGTGAATCCACTCAACTCAACGCGAGCTTGCGGTCTGTCTGCCTGTCTGTACGTCTGTCTGTCTGTCTGTCTGTCTGTCTGTCTGTCTGTCTGTCTGTGCGTCTGTCAGTCTGTCCGTCTGGCGGCCTGACTGTGTCCACCCACCTTGCCGCGCACCACAAGCGCGGCCGCACTGCTCATTTAAACATTCTTTCTTTCTTTGAGAGAAGTTTCACAATATTCCCGACCGCACGCTGTGGCGCGCGGTGTGTCAGGCAGCGATGAATTAAACGCGAGAAAGACCCCCCATTAAAAAGATGAAAAATAAAAAAAAAATAATGTGGGGAAATAAATGAGCACCGCGACGGTAAAAAGGGGAGAAGGTAAATTGCAGAGGGACAAAAGGAGTTTGAAAGGCTCGGGCAGCAAACAGACTGCCAGCAGCGCTGCCACCCCGGACAAAGAGGTGCTTCTTCCATCTAATTATTTACGTTGTTGACACGGCAGCGCACAACCAGTGCACCTCCCGCGGCGTGAACAGTGTACCAGCACCGACGAGTTCCAGCCGAGGGGGAATGACCGAGGGGTTACGCACTCGTTCGTTCCGTGTACACACCTACGATTCCAGATTCCCACGATACCTGAACAAATTGAGAAGAAAAGTGCGGATTTTCGGGGAATTTTTGGGTTGTGCATGCAGGTTGGCACCCCTGCTGTGATAAGTCGGCACCCCTGTAACAGAGTGTATACACGCGAGATACATATCCGCCGTTTCGACACCGTCATCGTTACCTGAGCCAATGTCGTTTAGGAGTGTAGACTATGTATGTAGATTTTCCAACGTGAGTTTTGCAGTGCGATCCGAACGCCATCAAAACTCCCGACACAAATCCCCCCCCCCCCCGCTGTGCTTTAGCCTCGGCTTTAACAGTGGCGTGCTCGTCTTTCCTCGCGGCGCGCCATTCATTGTTCGCGCAGACAGACATTCACATTCATATTCACATTCACATTTGAAAAGGGACTCTTTTCCATTCTGTTCGCGGTTCCCCTTCCAAAAAGCTGGAAAGTGACGCGTTGCCCGCCATGCACTCCAAATGAACTAAATATTTAATCCCAACAACAACAACAACATGCGCGTCGGAAACTCTCTAAATCTTACCCTCGCCTGCAGCTCAAACGGCAAAAAATAAAAAAATAAGGATGAAACTTTGCGGGACAGGGAAGCTTGTTTGCAGATTTAAAACTTTCCATACTACTTTCGGGGTTGGTTCTTCATGCCAAGGAAGGCAGCCGTCGAGTGTGACGGGGCCGGGCACACTGACATCGAGAGTCGTTTCCGTCGCCCTGTCTCTCGTACACGTGTGGCACGCCCAACGAGTGTGATGAGTCAGAACGATGAAAAGGACTCTCGGAATCAGTCTGCTGGACATGAGCACCAATGTGTACCTCCGCCGTGACGAAAGCGGCCCGTACCCGTCAGCCCGAGTGGCAAGGCGGGTCACAGTGGACCAGAAGACCGATGTGGGTGGCCGAAACTCTAGACACGTTTTGAGCTTCAGAGTCGCCCAGACAGGACTCGAACCGAACGTGTGACCTCTACCAATGGATTCCTCGTTTGGAGAGCAATCCATAGGTGGGGTCACGCGATCGGTTCGAGTACCATTTAGCGACTCTGGAGCCCAAAACGCGTCTAGAGTTTTGGCCGCATCGGCCGGTCTTCTGGTCCACTGTGCGGGTTGGCGGCGCGGTGGCTGGGGAGGGAAGGGGGAAGCGGCGCCGCCGCGGCCCCCCTCCGCCCTGCCTCCCCCGGGCCCCGCCAGCGTGCTGCGAGCCTTCCCGCGGCGGGCTCGCCACCAGTCCTCGCCCAGCACGCGCCGCGCCTTGCCGCCCCACCCGAAGCAGCCGAAGCAGCCGGGCAAGGCGCCGCGACGCACACCCACGCACGCACCGCCAGGGCGTCCTCGAGCACGACAAGGAGGGCCTGGGGCTAGTGGCACCCCGGTGGCAGACGATTCCCTCCTCGCAGTCTCTCTCTCTCTCTCTCTCTCTCTCTCTCTCTCTCTCTCTCTCTCTCTCTCTCTCCTTCGCGAGTGCAGATTTCCTTGGATTACCTGCCCAGAGGCGTCGGGGAGTGTCGTCGGCAGGAGTCCTGAGGTAAGCCCTCCGCGTCGCCTGCAGTGTAGTTGTCGTGTCCCGGACGGACGACGCATGAATTGCTGAGAGGACTCCGATGGCGCTGCGTGAGCGCCAACACGCTCCCTTGACGTGTGTCGCGCCCCTCGGTCTGTCTGTCTGTCTGTCTGTGTCATCCCCAAGGAGACACGTGTTGGCGTCTCAACCACCCACACCTTGCTAATGAGACGCCCTGCAACGCGTTTGCAGTGGCTGGCACAGCGTCATTCGAATTGCGTCAATTACGTACCGGTGTACCCGCCGTCGACAATAAAATATTCAATTGCACTGTTTTTGCAATAATGACCACCCAAAAAGTGCAAAAAACATACTGGGCAGCATTTAAAGAATAACAGTACTACAGACAAGGCTCTATTCTCACTCGCAAAAATTAAGGCGTGGTTGTAACACAATTAGACAAACTAAGTTATTGCACCCGAAGTGGCGGCCAATCGTGAAGGGTTGTAAACTGTGTAAACTACTTCACGGTAAAAATAAAGGTTCCTGGTTTTCCCAAAAAACCTTTGGTAAAGACACGGGCGTTCCCAGCGAAAACCAGGAACCGTTTTTCACCGTGTTACTTTTGCTTCAAAATTTAGGAGGTGACAAACTGAATGACAATGGAAGCGTTGCCCGGAGGGTGTTTCAGTTTGAAGTCCTCCAGGACCGCGACGTTGTCGAGGCGCCGCCTTTTGATGAATAAACCCGCTTGTTTGCCGCGGCGCTGTGAAACTGCCGCCAACTGTTGGCAAGTTTGGGTCGCGCCGCTCCGCCACACTGTGTGTTGGTTATTATTCCGGCTCTGGCCGCGAGCACCCGCAGAATCCACGGAACGCTGATATGAGTGGCGTGGCATGCCTGGCGGGGCCGCAGCGGTCAGGCAGAGTCCCGTCCGTCCGGCCCGTCTGCCGCCATGCACAGTGGGCCAGAAGACCGGCGGAGGCGGCCAGAACTCTAGACGTGGTTTGAGCTCCACAGTCGCTGAACACGACTCGAACTGAGCTTGTGTACCGCACCAATGGATCGATCGTTCAAAGAGCAATCCGTTGTTGTAGAACGCGGGAGTGAGGGCGAAGAGCGCCTGCGAACCGCGGCGTGGGCAGCACGCTCCACGCCAGTGTGCGGCGGGCCTGCCTACCCCGAGCTTCACAGGCGCTCTCCACTCCACAGTGGGCGAGAAGACCGGTGCCGGCGGCCAACACTCTATGCGCGTATTCAGGCTCGGACTGGCCCCCAAAAGGCCCCAGCGGATAAGACCGCAAAAGGCCCCCGATTATCATTACGTTTTTACCCTTCATGACCAACTTTGTGAGGCTAACGCTCCCAAACTATTTGGGTATACAGGGGGATACAGGGCACGAACGAGTAGGGTCTTAAGAATACTAGGGCGTCGAGGGAAGCTTTTTACGGCAACTACATTGGACACAGTGGCCGCCCAAAGTGAGCAAAATCAGCAAATTTCCGAGATTCAACCAATTTTGACCAACTTGGTTGGAAAATCGTTGCGGTCAAAGCCAAAATCGTTGTGGTCAACGTCTTTCCGATACAGGACATGAAAGAGTAGGGTGTTAAGAATACTAGTACGTCGAGGGAGGCCTTTTACGGCGACTAGATTGGACACAGTGGCCACTCAAAGTCAGCAAAATCAGCAAATTTCCGAGATTCGACCACTTTTTGGCCAACTTGGTCGGAAAATCGTTGCGGTCAAAGCCAAAATCGTTGTGGTCAACGTCTTTCCGATACAGGACATGAAAGAGTAGGGTGTTAAGAATACTAGGACGTCGAGGGAGGCCTTTTACGGCGACTAGATTGGACACGGTGGCCACTCAAAGTCAGCAAAATCAGCAAATTTCCGAGATTCGACCACTTTTTGACCAACTTGGTCGGAAAATCGTTGCGGTCAAAGCCAAAATCGTTGTGGTCAACGTCTTTCCGATACAGGACATGAAAGAGTAGGGTGTTAAGAATACTAGGACGTCGAGGGAGGCCTTTTACGGCGACTAGATTGGACACGGTGGCCACTCAAAGTCAGCAAAATCAGCAAATTTCCGAGATTCGACCACTTTTTGGCCAAATTGGTCGGAAAATCGTTGCGGTCAAAGCCAAAATCGTTGTGGTCAACGTCTTTCCGATACAGGACATGAAAGAGTAGGGTGTTAAGAATACTAGGACGTCGAGGGAGGCCTTTTACGGCGACTAGATTGGACACAGTGGCCACTCAAAGTCAGCAAAATCAGCAAATTTCCGAGATTCGACCACTTTTTGACCAACTTGGTCGGAAAATCGTTGCGGTCAAAGCCAAAATCGTTGTGGTCAACGTCTTCCCGATACACGGCCAACCACCACCACCACCACCACCACCACCCCACCACCACCACCACCACCAAAAGGCAGCAGCATCAGCATTAGCAGCAGGACGATAAAACAGGTCGTCATTGTGTGAGCACAGACATCCTGCATGGCCCTGCCGTGGCCCTGTCGTGGCCCTGCCCCGCATTGGTTGGCGAGCCTGTCGATGCCGTTCCAACGACGAACACGTCCCTACACGAGAAAAAAGAAGAACAGAAAAAAGAAAACGGCCAAAGTGAAAAAAGCGCTCGTCGCAGCATCGCCCGGCCTCGGCCGGCCTCGCCAGACTGCCAAACTTGGCGGTGACTTTCGGCCCGATCGTCGTGGCTGGGACCAAGAAAACTGAACAACGATGTAGGAAAATGTCCCACGTTCCTTTTTCTTCCATTTTAGTTTCGCCACTGGAAAAATGGCGCAATTCCAGGAGGGGTCGCTGCTCGGGTCTCTCTCGTGGTCCACGGAATACGCTGCTGTCGCGTTATTGCCGTAATACACGCCAAGTCGCGCCCCGCCCCCCCGCCCCGCCCCGCCCCGCCCGCCCCGCCCCGCCACGAACCGCGGCACGCCCCACCACGCCCGATCTATTGAATCCACCCCGGTGTCTCCGTCCTCAGCAAACGTGGAACTAAAAAAAGCGGGGAGGAGAATGGAGTAAATTTAGCGAGAAGATTGCTGACGTCCGACGTCGGGCTGCGATAGCGGTGGGCTGGCGGTTCACTGTCAAAATGGGTTGTTCAGGTCATGCGGCAAAATCGTTTTCAAAGTCATTGCAAAGTCATTTTTATGACACAATATCGATGAAAATTTTCATCAAAAGTCATATATGCGGCATGAGCCTGACAACAACAAAGTTTCCAAGAAGTTTGATGTCAATCTTGCATTGAGTAAAATTAGCATTGACGTTGTCACATTACGCAACGTCCTTTGCCTCTCTCGCACTCACTGGCAGCCCATAAGGAGCAACAAGGACGAAGCTAAGAGCAGCCTTACGTATCGTGTGGACGGCCCCCGTCGCAGCCGAAACTCTGACAGTGTGGTGGGCAGGTGTCGGGGCCTGATTGGGGACACATCGGCGTGCTGGGCGGAGTGGCTGGCTTTCGTTCGTCCCGCCCACAATGCGTTGCAATTTCAACGAGAGGCAAATCGATCGAAAAAGCAAAAATAGAGATGCGGGAGAAAGAAAGGAAAAAGAGAGGGAACGGAATGTATTATTTGTTGTGCTGCGGGGGCGGCCGCCAGGTTGATTGGCACTGCGAAACGCGTCACGTGCGTGCACACTGGTAGAAAAAAAAGGGACGGAAGGAGCTCGGAACGTTGTCTGGTCAATTGCAATTTTTTGCCTGAACCACACCCTCATTGAAGGAACGTGGCATCACGTTGAGACGAATGTGACAATGGGAGAGAGAGAGAGAGAGAGAGAGAGAGAGAGAGAGAGAGAGAGAGAGAGAGAGAGAGAGAGAGAGAGAGAGAGAGAGAGAGAGAGAGAGAGAGAGAGAGAGAGCGTGTGTGGGCCAGAGCAGGGCCAGCAGCAGTACACACCGGAAGCTCGCTCCCCGATCGTTTCCTGCCCGCCACAGCGCTCAGATTCCTCATGATTTATTAGCCCCTCTCTGCATCCCCGATTAGTGTTGACCTCCCCCACTCCCCCTGTCGCTGCAGACTGATTCCGAGAGTCGTTTTCGTCGCTGTGTCGCTCTCTCGCACCCAAGCGGGACGCCCCGTGGGCGCGAGAGGGACCGAGCGACGTAAACGACTCTCGGAATCAGTCTGCTGGGGAAGGGAGAGACAGGTGCGGGCCGCAGGTGCCAGGTGCCCGGCTACACCGTGTAATTCATTTCGCGCGCCAAAAGACAAACACCCCGGCGGCCCCGCCCACTCGCAGTGCAGGGCCCCAGGCAGCCATCTTGGACGAAACGGATTAAGAGTGATTCCCGGATTAACGAGAGCATATTAGCCCCGCTAATGGAGCCCCACCCCTCCCGCAGTGGTCCTGCCTGCCACTGCTGCTGCGAGGCTGACGAGCGGGGCGAGTCAATCTTCAATAATTATTTTCGTCATCGCGGCGGGGCGGCGGAGCAGCAGGGTCTTCTTCCTGGCTTATCCCCCCCCCCCTCCCCCCTTTCCCCTGAGCAGTCGCCACCGCGATCCTAAATTAATTCGCCAAGTGCGCGGCGTGGCGGGGCGGGGTGGGGTGGCCTTGCCTTGCAGACTGCTTCCGAGAGTCGTTTTCGTCGCTTTGTCTCTCTCGCACCCATACGGGACGCCCCATGAGTGCGAGAGAGGCAGAGCGACAAAAACGACTCTCGGAATCAGTCTGCTGCTGGAGGCGAGCTCGGGTAGCTGCACAACAACACTCCCAGCCCGAGTGTCACTCCACCGCTCTGCCGTGCGATTATGCCGAGTGTGGAGCGATGACGGCGTCCTGCCTGCAGTCCGACTGCCAACACTCGCTCTGTCTCTCTCGCACGCACATGGAACGCCCCGCGAGTGCGAGAGAGACGGCGAAACTGTCGGCGGGCATGCAAAGCAGGCGGCGAGGCGGGCGGCAGGCGGACGCCGTTAAAAAGGGAGTGCCTTGGCGGGGAGGGGATGGGGGTGTTGCCGCCAGTCCGCCAACCATTAGCGCGCCAAAG